AGATCTTTTTCGCATTCGACGAGATGTTGACGGGACAAATCAAAAATCAAAATTCGAAGCGAAAGAAATTGGTGCGACAGGAAGAAGTTTACGCTGCAAACACGGAGATTTATGCGCTTTTACTTTAATTCACTTTTCACATACGTTATATAATCGCGTGATGCGCTCATATCAGTTTAAAAAATTGATTAAAAATGAATTAAAGTGTCTTTATCATCGTCTCTTTGCTTAATCTCGATTGCTGACTTTCTTCTTGCAAAGGATTTCTTGTAAAGGATTTTTCTGATTCTTTTCTTAAATTTTGGAATTCTACATTTTTAATTTCATTCATAATTACGTAAAATTGCACGAAAATTAATGAAAAAACTTTAACATTTAAAAAGTCGATAAATGAAAATCTGTTTCAAGGGTATAATAATCTTCTAATCCTCGGATTTTCGGATCTTTGGATTTTCGTAAACCTTGAAGTCCTTGGATTTGTGAGGAGTCTCAAGAATTAAGATAAAAAAAAAACGAGTAAATAGAAGTGGGCAAAGGGGTTGAGGGGTTGTGTTTTAACCGACCTACCATTCACAGCACTTTCCTCAACCCATCACCTCCTGCACCACCCTCTCGCCGTCTCGCCCTTCACGCGGCTTCTCATCCCATCGAAAAACGTTTCCATGCCGGTCTTCGGGATAAATAGTTTGCACAGGAAAAGGATTTCTCCACGCCGGCAATTTATCTCAAACGTACGCGGCTCCATTAAGCGGAGACGCAACCCTTTGAGCCTGGGTAGAGTGGGATACTGCGGATTCGGGATTGCGCGTGGATTTAAGACCGTAATCACGGGATTTCGGGACAAGCAAAGTGCGACGACAAGGCCGTCGATAACTCCGAAGGAAATTACTTTGCGTGTGATCGTGTCGAGAATTTCGGTTTCTATTTTTATCGGCACGTGTAGATCAAAAAAGATCTTCGTCTTAAGAAAAAAAAAATATTAGTCCCTTATAATGAAAACTATATATAGTCACATTAGAGAGATCTTTGACAACTCAAAATAATTATAGTGATTATAGTTTCTTATAAAATTATAAATTATATATTTTATACAATATGTACAATATATGTACAATATATATCTATTTATATAATATATATTATAAATCACAACTTTTTTTTAGTTATATAATATACATTTTATTTATATACAATTACACATACAAATTATAGATCTGAGAGATATAAATATTATATCTCTTCTTGTCTTGAAATCTGCGGTTTTCTCAATATACAACACGGTAAAAGTAATTTCTTTAGTCTAAGGATTCTTCGATCTTTTCAATAATGAGATCATTTATGTAATATAAGATATTAATATTTTACTCTTTCAAAGTTCTTTTAGACTATTTAAAAGACCGTCATTCTAAATTCGCGGATACGTTTGCCTTACAAATGAAACGAGTTTTTCGCGGAAATGGTTTACGCGACTGTGAAAAGAAATCAATATGAGCTAACGCAAAGAGTCTTGGTTACGAAAGAATCGACAGCTGCCGTTTCCTGTGGCAATAAAGTTAAGAGACCTTAAAATAAAAGGGCAGTTTAAGCACAAGACGTTCGCCAGTAATATAGTCTTAAGTAATATAGTCTTTGTACGAATTAAATTTAACAGAAAGGTGAGCTCCCAACCTAGAAAGTTTATCTTCCAAGAGCGAGAAGCAAAGAAATTTTAGAAGCTCAGAAACACGTACTTCGCGAATTTGGTTCCAATTCCTTGAATCTGCAACTTTAATTTTTTAATACCTGCAACTTTCTTTGCACCGGTATAACCACTCTCAATGTGTTTGCAATAATTTTATTAAACTCCTATTACTCAGATATTTCAAAGATGTTCGATATTTTAAAATCTAATTAATCTTGTGAATTACCTATCTTAATTCTATGTGAAAATCTTAATCAAAGACATTTTTTCGAGTGCATCATCGGGCTCTATATTTTTAGACAGATAGATTCTTCGATCTTTCTATTTATAATTCTGGATGGATCGATGGAATCATTATATTCATTAACTGTCCTCTATGAATTTCATCTTTGACCCTTCGCTTGAACCCTAGAATCTTAATCTAGGGTAGGGTCGTAACTTCCGGTATAGCGCTGTTAGGCAGTGAAGGAGGGGGAGAAAGAGAGAGAGAGAGAGAGAGAGATCGGGACAGACAGGAGAACGGAGAGAATGAGAAGGAAGGGTAAAAGGAAAGGGACGGAGGGAAAAGCAATCAATCTTTGAGAGGCAGATGAGTGCGGGAACCTAAAATATAGGGCAACACAAATTTAGTCTGGCTGCCGGTCCACGTCCACGTGTCGACGTGAATGCGCAACCGCCCGGGTTTGTAATCGATATTGCCGACAAGGCACCACGCCCTGCACCTGCGAGATGTGCCGGGATATGCAATGCCACCGAACCGAACCTAGTCGAACCTTGCCCAGGACTCTCTCTTCCTCTCTTCCTTTCTCTCTCTCTCTCTCTCTCTCTCTCTCTCTCTCTCTCTTTCATGAGCCTTTTGCACTACCTTCTCCAGCATGCTTCGAAACTTAGACGATCTCAGGCTCCTTTGAAGCTCTTCGAGTCTTAGATAAACCGATTGTTCAGTCTCGTATGCGACAGCTTGCGTGCCTCGAACCTGGGCAAAATCTTCCTTGGGAATCTCCTATCATTCCTACTTATCTTCCTTTTCATAGATTATCCAAAACTTTAGCCTTTTATAAAAAAAAATTTTTAAAGCTTCAATGCTCTCTTTCTCTCTAAATAACTTAATCATCTTACTCCAGATAACTAGATTATTCAATTCTTCGTGCAACGACATTGGCGGCAATCTAGTCGTATAATCGGGATTCTCACATGTCCTTTTGTATCTCTATTCCGCGCATACTTCTGACTTAGAGGGATTTCAGGATTTCTCTTTTGAAGTCCGGCTTCTCTTTGAGCTCCAGATAAATCGATTGTTCAACTCCGTATGTGGCAACACGATGCTTACCTTGAATCAAGGCTTCCTCGGGGACCCTTTAGCCTTCTCACGCGCTTATCTTCCTCCTCAAGTATTATTCGTAACACTTTTTTCAAAGATTTTTCAAGCGCTTTCGACTATTCAATTCTAGATAACCAGATGAGATACTAAATTATAAAATCCTTCATAATTGGTAACGACTGGATCGAATCTTGCCGAATCTTGCACATGTTCGCATCTGAATTTATGATCATAGATGCATCCGTGTTCCCACGTAAATGATGCCTTCGGACTTAGACGATGTCAGAACCCTTCAAGTTCTAAATAACTTAATTATCCGAGCTCGTCAGGCAATCGAACTTCCTTCATCTTTGACGCTCTTCTCAACCTCAATCTCATCCAATTCGAACTTTGTTACTTCGATTCCAGAGATTTTAATATAAAATATTAAATTAACAAAAAATAAGATGATCGCAAATTGCGCAAGTGACGTTAAACTATTCGGAAACGTTTTTAACGGTAGATATTTTCGTCAACGTGACGAACCTTTCAGTCGCTCAGTCGCGAAGGGCGATGTACCGGTTTCGCTCGAAAAGCCCGAGGCCCGTAGGGCACCGGAGGGTTAAGAAACGCTGTAACAGCACCGCGCGCGCGTCATTGACTTCTCCTGATCTATTCGGGGTCGACTTCGCCCTCGGCTGATTTTTTTGTGCTCTGTTACCGGAAGTAGGCCAGCGCAAACTGTCGTCCCTTCATCCGGCTCCACGTCCGTCTTATGAATTTTGCGGCGGGGAATTCTGCGCGAAGATGAAAAAGTTTCGCCATCCATTCTCGTCCTTGCGCGAAATAAAAGTGCAAATATCGTGCCGCGATATATATTCTTTTTCTATTGTTGCCCGCATGGAACGTTTTACTCAATCCAGATTGCAGGATGTGATGAATCGTGCAATTATTTAAACGGATCCTTTTATGCGGATAAAACAACATGTTCTTATGATAAACAAACGAACGGAAACGCCCGGGACGACACATATCCACAAATAGACGGTAATATCGGATATTTGGCTAATATAAGAAAATTATTCTGTTTGTGTGCCGGGTAGAAAGGTTGGCATTTTCCGTATTAACCTCGCGTAACAGATGAATGAGCAAGATAGGCAAATATACAATTATAATGGGACGAGTAACTGATGCATAATTAATGGATTTATTACGATGTTTCAATATTGGAACATTCAACATGCAATTCGTCGTCACTATAGTCCTTCACTATTGTGATATTTAACATTTAAAACGGAATGCTATTAATTGCAACACAAATAGATCGTCGATTGAATATGTAGAACATTTTATGTATATATGTTTTTTAAACGTCGCAGAATTCCAGGATTGATAATGAAAACTAAGCAAAAATTTGATCGGGAGGGAATTAATACCGTAGTGTTCTTAAACGCTTCATCTGTCTCGAGCACGTTTCAATTTCTTTGAAATTAATAAAATTAATTAAAAACTCGAAATTAAATTGAAGTTTACCGTGAACTAAGTTAAAGAATAGCTTTCGCGTCTGGTGTGCTCTTGAGATCTTGACGTTTTGAATATGAAATATCTAAAATCCCAAACGTCTTAGATCCTTTGATCCTATATTCTTTTGATTCTCGATTCCTTGTTTGAACGTGGTCAGCAAAGAGTTTGCTTTGCTTTGCTCGAGGTTCGCCAAAGTTCGCTGAAGTTCATCTCGTCTAAAACTCTCAGGTGAACCACTAAAATACCTGAACACGTACCACGGTTGGTTAATTGTTAATCCTTTTACCGCCACCAGTATTTCTTTAAAGCATTATCCTTGGCTGATTATTATGGAAAGTAGTTTGAGGCTGTTTATATCCGTTTAATTTACTTACACTTCGTATTTGCTTCATTCGCTTGTTTTTACTTTTAAATACATTGTCGTCATATATATATGTATATATTCAATAAAATTTCGACAATTTATTAAATCGCACATTTTGTTGTGTGTTTTAGAAGCAGACTACACCTTAGATGATTCCTTTTGGAAGGAAGAGGAAACTCCCGCTGGTGAGTAAATATATACATATATTATGACGGACAAATTTATTAAGTTTAAGTGATACTAATCACCGTATCTATAATAGCGAGATAGTTTTAAATACAATCAGCAAATACACGAAGATATTAAAGTTCAATAAACGAAGCTTCATGAGTTATTATTTCAGAAATTAGTCAATTTAATCTAAAGTTTCCCGCAAGATTAATCTTGATTTGATAAAACAATTAAATTTTATTTTCGTCATTATTTAGAGCATTTGCGCAACAAATCGCAACTGGGTTAAGGTAATTAAAATTCCGCTAATCTTGCGCAATAGGAAAAAATTTGCAAAAGATTTGCTGTCGCAATCTTTGCACAATTACGACGGCTATAGGATAAAGGCTTTGCGTAAACAAACTACCGTAAAATGGAAGGACCGCAATGCAGCACTTTCGTTAGAAACTTGATCCTCGAGGATACGACAAATCCTCGAGAGCGGTTTATTGTTAAGTCAACATCGCTGATTGGTCGGAAACGCGAAACTTAAATTGGATTACATTTTAGACGGGGACAATGCACCAGGACAGAGCTCGACGGCGCGAATCCCGGCCTAGATATTACGACGATTGTGTAATGGAAAATCTGTCTTAAGAGAGAGAGAGACAGAGAGAGCAAAAGAGAGAAAAGAAAAATTTCAAGTTATTCCAGTTCGCATTTATTTTAATCTGGTTATAAAAGCTGAGAAAATTCTACATAATGTATTTCAGTAACGTTGAATGCAGGATTCATGGAATTAGGGGGCTTAATTAGGGATTAGGATGTAAAGCGGCGTTGAGCGTACACGAGTAAACAGCAATAGCTGCTGCAACATTACATGAAATTTAATTTAATTTGATATACCACTTGAATATATATAGATATATATTATTTATACAGAAATTCAATTTGCAATTTAATTAATCCCGGATTGAAAGTGTTGGGAAACATATTACGTCGCGTGCCTTGGTAACAAAGAATCTAGGATTCAGAGAATTAAAGAGTTTAATTAAAAATTAAAGTTTGTTGAAGTACTGTCTTGCACAATAATGTGAAGTTCAATAATTAAAAAAGAAAATGATTATCTTAGTATCCGAGCTTGAGAAATTCCGAGGTCTAGGAGGGACGTCGGAATTTTCTGACGCAAAATCGAAGACACCGTTAAGTTGTCACGCTACTGCAGAACGCGTGTAACTGCAACGTGGCAACATAATGACGTCGGCCGCGAATTAATCGCAATTTACGTGACATTTCTGCGGCGACGGCAACAATTGGCGGGCGGTGAGGGAGAGACGGAGGATGACGGGCGGGATGAAAAGAGTAAATTAATCGGCGAGTAATCTCGGCGTGTTTGGGGCGACGCTTGAGGAGCGGAAGATGGAAATTGAATTCGCGACTCGCGCGCGCCCGTAAACTTCTCGAAATAAGGAACGATTCGCGAAACGCGGGGAGTAGTCGGCATTAGCCCAGAGGAGAGAGAGAACTTCGATCGATATCTATCGCCGATCTGGGTAATGGCAATTTTCCAACACGCAAGGTGTACTGTCACTTCTCAACTATAAATTCTAAGGGGCAATGTCAATGTAGAATATAAATTGCCCGCGAGAAAGTCGGTAGACCGGAGAAACGGGGAAGAATTTTAAATTGAAATTAAGTACAACAGATTATGCTAATCTAAAAATGTAATGACATTTAATAAATATTAAATACAGATTATTTTATAATGCTACGAGAAATATGTATATACACACATCGTCAATTTCATGTATGTGAGACTTTGAGAGCCGAGACAGGAAACGTCACTCTTTTATGTAGGAAATCGAGGCCGAATCAATCGAGATTGAGAGGGCTAATACGTGGGTACAAAAGAAATGGGGACAATAAAATCTACTTTATACTACTTTATTACTGCCGTTATTATTGAATCGTACGGACTAAAATCTCGATGCCGGCGGTTGAGAGGGCAGGTTAATGGCAATAGCGTGAAATTTCGTCGGTGCGGCGCAATGAATCGCCCCAAAGTCCATTCGAGATGAAATTAGAGATCGTAGGGGGATGGCTGAAAGAGAGTGGGGAACCGAGGGGGTGAAATTAGGGCGTTCGATTGAACGTGGAAATTGATTTCAGGTGAGGTCGAACGACTACTACACGAATATCGACAAAACCAAGAGCTAATACGAAATATCGGTGGTCATTACTATCAGATCATCTATCCGGTACAGCTACGGCATCACGAGAAAATGGGGATATCCACGAGAGAAGTCGGCGTACCAAAGGTAAAATTTTGCAGTCTGCATATTGTTTTCACCAGTAATCTTTCACCACGTGAATACTTTTGCTAAACTAAATAAAATCGATAAAAATTCAGATATAGACAACTAAAAATAGAAAGAGAAATTATAGAAAAATAAAAACAATCAAAGAATTTTATTATTTAATTTAGTATTAATATATTAAATTCTTCAATATATTTTCAATTTACTTAGATTATTTTTTTAAATATTATAGTTGATATATGGCTAATATATTACATGTGTTCTTATTGCAATTTAGTTTCCTCAAAGAGGTTACGGGGATGGAGGATATCAGAATCCTAGAGGCAGAATGAGAGTAAGTTTTGTAGTACAGAAATAGATTTCAAGATAATTGTTAATAACGATAATAATTTTGAAGTAAATAATCCTTAAAAGAATTATAACGATAAAAATTAATCGCAAAATTTATATTTTCAGACAGGGAGACATTTTCATCGGACGTCTCTTCTGATCAAGGCCTTTAATCACAAATTTCGTTTAGACTTAGAATTAAATACGTAAGTATCTTTATACAAAAATATATACTGATTTAAATATATCTTAAAATATTTCTTAACGTAGTGAAAATTTTAAGCATAAAAGACGCGAAAAGACAGCACAAAATAAGATCTAATTAAGAAAATATCATCCATCAAAAAGATTGATATATGTGCCCTTCATCATTATGTTGCAGGCAACTTTTAGCTCCAAATCTTATACAGAAAGACTTTTTAGCCGGCAATGCGGAACAAATGTCTAAGCAGGTAAAATATTGTCGAGCGAAAACGCAATTTCACGTGCGACAATCTAATAATACTCAAGTATTTATACGTGACGCAAACCGACGGCTGTTCCTAAAGATATAATTGTTTTTGCATAGCCGATTACTTCGCTCCGCGGTTTGTTAAAACCAGTTTAGTTGGGTTCAAATTGCTTTTAATATGAGCTGTCTCATTACGATCTCTTACCTGATGCTAAAGGGCAAGAGAAATAAAAAAAAAGGAGCGGCTCTTCGGATATCGGGTAATGGCAGAGCTATTTTAGTTACCGTAAAAGGAAAAAATGTCAATAATAAATATGTGCAAGCGCATATTCACTGTCACTTCACTTACCGTGGCAATGAAAGCAGTATTGTGAATAGCAAAGTCTAAAAACACGCTCACGTGAAACTTAAGCATTAAGAGCTAGGGAGAGGGCTCAAGTTTAGCGATAAAACTCATAATGGCGTTATTACCTCTCTTGCAGGAAATAGAACATTGTTATTATCACGGCACTGTGAGAGATTATCCGGGAGCTAGCGCTGCTTTTCACACGTGTAACGGTGTCAGCGGTGTCATTCATTTAGGCAACGAGACCTTCGTCATTCATCCATTCTACGGCGGTGATTTATCGGTCAGTTAAATTGCTTTTCGTTAAATATTATTATTATTATTATTATTATTATTATTAAGGATAAGGCAAAATAATAATCGCGTACGCACAGTTAAAAAATATTGAAACAATTATGAATAAATTACTATGGAGAATGGAGAAGTTCCATTCTCTTTGTGCTAATCCACGCGCATAATTCGCGTGCCGTCTTGAAGTAACAGTCGGCTGACGCTGCTAAATTCGAATCAAAGGCGCTGCGAATTCGAGTTGGTTAATTTGACTTGATTTTATTACTAGATAGACATAACTTTGCGGAAGTTTAGGTCGCGCTATAATTAAATGGAATGTCGAGTGTCGGGGAGCGGGTATATGGCCGCGAGGCGGCTGGCGGTAGCATAAACTATATATGCAGGCCTCTCTTTTAGCAGAAACATCCTCACATTATATTTGAAGCTCGAACAAAAGTTAACAAAGGCTGCGCTAACTCGGGAAATCTTGAGTGGCGTGTAAAGAACCGCCGGCAGAAGCACATCTTCGGGCTATCAGAGACCACTTCCGATCGATACAAAAGAGACGTCCGTGAAGCAACCAAATACATCGAAACTGCCATCATTATCGATAAGGCCATGGTACGTTAATTATACCCCTTCAAGCGTAAGTTAATTAAAGTGACATAATTAGGTGACAGATAAAACCAGAAAACGTACCAATAAAATAATATTCAATTTAAATAAATTTTCGGAGAACAGACAATGAATTATCACGCGATTTATTTAATTTCTGAATCAGTGCTTGTAACGGTAGAAAATTATAAAATAAATGTATATTTTTAGATTTTAAGCGCAAAATACACTTTAACATTTGCAATATTAATTATCCATTAACGTTATTTTATGTATATATTCTATATATAATATTTTCTTCAAATTCATGGTACTTTTGTCTCTGTGTACAGTTTGACAAAAGAAACGGTAGTACCAGAGCTGAGGTTGTTCACGATGCCATCCAAGTTGCTAATATCGCAGATTTGGTAAGCCCGATTATGTGATAACGCTCACGTAAATTTATTTTCCGGTAGGGTATGCACTCAATTAAATTTTCTCCGCAGTATTTCCGTACATTAAACACTAGAGTCTCCGTCGTATACATCGAAAGTTGGAAGGGCAGCAACCAAGCGCAAATCGATAACGGCATCGACATCGATCAAGCCTTGTTAAGCTTTAACGATTATACGATGCGGAGAATGTATCAAGTTGCTCAGGACACCACCCAATTGCTCACGTGAGTTTATTGCTCTTCCTCCGGTTTTTAACCCTTCCCTTAATTGTTTTAATGTCAAACACTGAAATATCTTATTTATGTACTTTCGTCTGGGCTTATAATACAATTAATTTTCTGAATAAATTGAGGGCACAAAGATTCTCAGAAACTAAAGAAACAATTGACGTTTTTTTTATATTCTCGGTAGGGGTGAGACTTTCTCAGGTGGAGAATCAGGGGTGGCTGTACCCGAGACCGTGTGCAGCCAAAGATCCGTAGGAATCAGCGTCGATCTAAACACTTACGAGCCTCATCTTTTAGCTGGTACCATGGCACACATGATCGGCCACAATATCGGCATGAGTCACGACGATGGAAGTGAGTATTATACGAACTTTTTTAAATCTTATTTTCGATGCGTCAGTCGATTTGGCGAACAGAAGAGAGAGTAGTTTCCGGTTTTACAGCAGCGGTTAATTTTTTATTAACAATTTCAGGGAACGACTGCAATTGCCGCGATTGGCACGGATGCATCATGGCTCAATCTATCGTCGGCCTGGAAAACGTTCAGCCGTACAAGTTTTCGGAGTGTAGTAAAACCGACTATATAGAAGCTTTAAAGAGCGGCCACGGCATCTGCCTTTTTAACAAACCAAACGAGGTGAGTTCGAGAGCTTACGCACGTATAGCTATATAGACGGATGACGCTTTGATCGATCGAATTAAATTGGAGATCGAACGAACCGTAGAGCAAATTCGATTAACGTTCCCGTAATCGATTTGGGATCTGCTTTGGGTTTATAGTTGGAAATTAGGAGATCATGCGGAAACAGGGTAATCGACGACGGGGAACAATGCGACTGCGGATCGATCGAGGAATGCAAGGAGTTCGATCCTTGTTGCGATGCCATCACCTGCAAGCTGACGACGGAGGCCGAATGCGCGACCGGTCCTTGTTGCAGCGATTGCAAGGTGAGATAAGAGAAGATCCTCGTCCTTTAGCAAGCAATCCCTTGGAAGTAATGCGATATGGCGAACCATATCCTATGCATAATGTTAAAATTAATATTTATATGTTAAAATTAATACTTTATTATAATTCATTTTTAAAGATTTCCCAAATACGAGAGAAAAAATATTAAATTATTTATAAAATGTAAATTATTAAATATATAATAACAGCATGAAAAATAGTGAAAATGCATTTGTGAAAGAGCAGATAATTCCATTTCCGCTGTATCATTTTTCCTTGCTTATTTTTCGCATCCGTGATTTTAACGTAATCCTTTTCAACGTAAATCCTAAACCTTATCAATATATAAAACTTCAGCTCCGTGCTCGCGGTGTCGTTTGCCGCGAATCGACGAACGAGTGCGATTTACCGGAGGTGTGCACCGGTGACAGCGGCCAGTGCCCGCCGGATGTTTATAAGAAGAACGGCAATCCGTGCTCGAATAACGCTGGGCACTGCTTCAACGGAGTCTGCCCGGCTCTGGATCTACAGTGCGAGCAAGTGTGGGGATACGGTGGACTCGCCGCCGATCAAAAATGTTTCGAGCAATTTAACTCTAAGGGATCTATCAACGGTCATTGCGGCACTGATTCCAGCGGTCACCTTATCAAATGTGAAGCTGAGTGAGTAATAGCTTTTGCTGTATGACGAGAAAATAGAAATATAAAAGACGTAAGAAAAAAAGAAAGAAATACAAAAAAGTTAATTTGAAAAAGTGAAAAAGATTAATATTGATATACACTTCTAAGTTTTTATTTTAATTTTATAATGAAATATGTGAGAAGTACTTAATTTAATTTTCAATCATATATTTAGGTATAATAATCAACTTAGTGATTAAATGAGAAAATGCTTTCTTTCAGAAACGTTCTTTGTGGCTCCCTTCAATGCCAACAAGGAAGCAAGCAACCGATAATCGATGGAATGAAGGATTTACATACTAGAACTATAATTTCCATAAAAAATCAGGAATATGAATGCAAGTAAGTATGCTATGTAATAAAGTCGAAGTTGTTACTTTTTAAAAATATTTCAAATACTTCACGTTTTGATATCTACATATACATGGTAATATTAAAATCAATTATTCTGATTTGCAAGAGCTACGAATGGAAGAGTGGAAGGAACCGATATACCTGGAATGGGATTAGTTCGTGATGGCACATCTTGCGGTGATAATTTGGTAATTAGTACAATGCCATATTTAACTCTCACGAAAATTATTATACGCCTATTAGCTTTATTTATCTTCAAATAATGTTAACCTAATTTCTGTGATATTAAATTATCAACCATGCATTCTAGATTTGCGTAAATCAAACTTGCACAAGTTTGTTTCCATACATCGATCAAGAAAAGTGTCCCAGCAATCACGACGACAAAGAATGCTCGGGAAATGGCGTAAGTATATTTCATTAAAAATCTAAAGCAATGTTGCTTCAGTTTTAAACAACAAGTAATTACAAATATGATATTTTGAAACAAATTTTATAATTTTTATTCTTATTTTAATGACAAAACACTGTGGCAATCAGCTGTAGATTTAAATTTATTGCATCCGGCTTCTAATTTTAGAAAAATAAGAAAATTACAGCTGTGCATGCGTTAATAAAAACGATAATAATAAATAATAATTCTGAAATTACGAAGATATGTTTGAATTACATATCTGAAAAGTTCGATCTTAAAATATTATTATAATATTCGACTAAAATTAGAACGATGTCAAAAAATAAGATTTTTTAATTCAGTAGTATAAAATAAAAATTACATTCTTGGTACATCTTTGATGCAACATACGCAACATAGAGCATTTACGTTAATAATTTATGTTAAATCTCGAAAATTTCTAATATTTTTTAAATTATTTATAATATTATATAAAATTACTATTTCTCGCAGGTGTGTACGAACGTTAATAAGTGTTACTGCTTCCCCGGTTGGAGCGGACCGGACTGTTCCATTGAGCAATCTATCCCGACGTTATCGCCGACAACACCCACACCTGAAGTAGTACATAAATCTGATTCTAAACTGGAAAAGAAAGAGACCCCCTACGGTAAGCCGCGGCTTCTCACATATAAATCTCTCTCATAATTGTTATTTAATTTAAAGGATAAAAGCGGGAAATTGATGCGCCATTGTTCTTGCAGATCTTTTTTTTAACGTTATTATAATTGACCCTCTAGCAGGCGTACAGATCAACACAGCATCTACTTCTTTACAACTTTTATCTATTATCCAAATTCAATTATTACGCATACATGCTTAATGCACACATGCTTTCTGGAGGGTTTGCTGTGTGAAAAAAAAATTATTCATGCTGTTATACAATCATTATTATTCTTATATCGATGACTCACTTCAAAAAGACAGTAAATCAATAAATATTTAAACTAAAATTTGTATGCATAATTTAGAATATTTTGAATGCAAGAAATTTTTACATTGTAATTCTTTAAATATGATCAAAATACGCTTTCTATGCAAAAATTTAAATAAAAATTTTAACATCGCCATTTTACGAATTAATTAAAAATGTTATAAATATTTAAAATGCATTTTGCATAAAATTAGAAATATTATTACTGCTGCTTTTTGAACTAAGTTCTCGATACAATTATATAACGCGTTATTTAATAATTATTATTTATAACATTATTAAAATACAAGAAAATAAGTAGGAGCGGCAGGGGCAACACCAATAATCCCATTAATTATATCGTAGAATTTAAGCGTTATAAAAATATACTCGAGTAGCCGTAATATTTGTTTTCGTATTTTACCATTATTAATCATCAAGTTATTTGACGATTATTAATTGTCATTCAGTATAGCAGACTTCCGTTAAATTGTTAGCCTTGATCAAAACTTAATTCAATAATAATACAAGCATATAATTCAATAAAAAAATAACAATTATTACAAAATTGTAATTATCACCATTTTCCCGATATCATATTTAATTTATTCTAATTTTTAAATAAAAGACTGTGAAATTTTTATCTGAAAGAGTGCATTTAGTATAACAGTAATTACTATACAAATAAAATTACAATTTTGAAATAATATACTCCAGATAAATATTTGTTAATTTAATCGGAAATAAATAAAATAAAATGTATTTAAAAACCCATGTAGAGAATATACTGATTGAAGCTACGATCTTTCTAAATCGAAAATTCGATCAGCGATAAGTTTTTTTTCATTCGAAAAACGGTTTAGGCTGGAAATAATATCGTTTCCGATAAAGGAAGTCTACTGTACTTTCAATTCTAGCAATATGGGTCCAGTCAATCGTCCCAATCAACTTTAGGCTCGCGATAAGGTAGAGTTAGGATTTTTTGGGGTCATACTATCAGCTGTGCACATAAAATCCGGATGCGTATGCGAACTCATATATTGTGCGATAATCAAGCTCGATTTCGTTTTAAGAGAAGCGAAAGTGACAAAGAAGGATCCTCTTATATATCCTGTAATATCCTTTTAATATTATATTTTCTCGGTCCTCTCAAATGCGACATCCCCGCTTTTATCCCTTAAGCGATAAAACACTCTTAGGTCATTTTATTGTTAAAAAAAATAGGAATATTATTTTGATTTTTTTTTACATTTTTAGATGGATTTGTTAAATTCTGAAATTCAGACATTCAGATTCTCTTGTTTTTTTTTTAATCCCTAGCTCTCTGTATTTCCCTTTCTTAGATTAAGAATTATTAATAGCGATGTACATATTAAAAGCAATATATATATAAAAGACAGTCGTCTCCTAATAATCATAGAACTTTCTAAGCTTTTGAGGTAATGAATCTTCAAGGTTGTCAATTTTTCAGTGAGCATAAATAATCTTAGATCATGGAAAATCTTAGAATCCTTGGAGTTACAAAGTTCTACGATTAAAGTGACGATGTAATTTGCATATTAGGCTGCCACTACTACGCGACTGCTACACATTCACGTACACAACAAAACAAGACACCGTCACACACGTGCGCGCCGCACGCGGCGGGATACAAAATGCCTTGATCATTTCAGGAGGCACCAACAACAATCTCTCTACGGGATTGATGGTAGTGATCCTGGTGGGTGTGGTGACGGGCGTCTTCATTTCTTTTGCACTAATGGCTGTTTGCTACAGGTACAGTAACAGCGAGAACAGATCGCCCGCGATCAAGGCCTGTCGTCTTCGTCTTCGTCGTAATTCGTGGCTAGCTGGATGATGATGATAATGATGATGATAATGATGATGATGATGAGGAGGCATCGCACGCGGCCGTCATAATATCGATCACTCTTAGCCTATTCTACTCGATGTTCACCTATTACACGTATAAACGCGAGAGTTGCAGAAAACAAAACTCGCTGCGTTCAGCTCACGACGACGCGATAGCGAAGAGAGTTATTTATACGTTGATGTCTCTTATTTATCTTCGGCCTTTCACTTGCTCTTCTTTTTTGGCACTTCCGAATGAGTTGCAGAAAATCACTTATATAAGCAATCTCTCCCCTTGGATCCTGTTATGCGCTTCGTAGTTTAGATTGCTTGCGTCCTTAGACTCTTCATGCTTTAGCTTTCGGTTCGCTGAGATTCTAGTTACCACCGGCATCCTAGATTCCTTGCTAAGGAGTTCCTCAGAAGAGCAAGGTGTCCTACATATTACGAATTCGAGATTGTTTAGTTCCTATTACACTATACTCCTGTGCTTCATGAAGCTTCCTGTGCTTCTAAGTTACTTTGGATCTCTTAAATAATTTAGATAACATACAGCTAATTTCTAATTCTAAATAGAATTGTTTAATATTTTAGTATTTATTATTAATTAATGTATTTATTATCAATTAAAGTAGCTCTCTGAATTCTCAATCTTTAAGAATTCCACTATTTACAGCTGTATTTATCAATATGAATTTTGAATATGAAAATTGAATGCAGCTGGTTTTGCGTCTGAATCGCTCGCATACATGACAACATAAATATATATGTATACACCTTTTTTTTATATATATTATATATTTATATATATAAATAATATTGTCACTATGTGGTGTGTGCTATGGATGTGCTCATGGCATAGTGATTTATGATCGTGACTATGTTGTTCAAGCGAAAATCTCTTAGTAATTATCGCGTTTCGAGGGATGACAATGATAGCTTCGTAAATGTGGCTACGGGTTAAAAAATCGGTGAGAAAACATAATTTTTAAACAATTAGACAAAAACTTAAAATAAATATAAATTTTTCATAAAATTTAAAATATTAATATTTTATCTCTTTTTAAACTTACTGATAAATTTACATTTTCTTCAGATTATTACATATTTATATATCAAAACGAAAATAACAAATTCTGTCAAGTAATGGTAACATACTTAAGAATTTCTGGTCGTCCCTCAAAAAGCGACGTCAAAAAAACTATACAATGTGCCAGCTGCTTGTATGCCCTATGAAAGCATGAAAGAAGCTGATTAGCGAAGAACTTGGACATCATCAATTATTAATAACTGTATGCAACTTGGCGAAAGCTTGCAAGTTAGAATAATCGATTTTTTTTTCAAATCAACGAAACAGATTCTTTGTGCAAAACCGACGAGTTAAGTAATGCGATTAACCCTTTCGGCAATTGTTCGCAAGATACATTTTATAATTCCCTATTATATATTTAATTTACTTATAGATATCTGTTATTATATATATAATTAAAGAAATATATTTAGAACTGAAAGGGTTAACAGAACTGCCTTTTTCCAGAGAGAACACGAGGGCAGGGTAACTAGGATTACGCGATCCCTAGATTTTGAAATCCGCGGATCTAGCCGTCTTTGGATCTTTGTATCCTTGGGTACTGAGATCTGCAGATTTCTGTGTCCCTAGATGTTGAACTCTATAGCTTCTTGAAATCTTGACAGATTCATGAATCTGTACAGATTACTCATAGGATCTTTAAAGGCTGAGTTAGGCTGATTTAGATCTTTGACAACTAAGATACATAGATTTTCAAATTTTTCTAAGAAAATTCTGAAAATCTATCGAGCATACTGTTGCCCTAATTATGAAACTTTGTAACGTCAAATTCTTGCAGACTTTTATTTTTTATTGCTGAAACACGCGAAACCTGACGCGTCTATATTTTTTTGGTCACGAAGTTTAATAATTTGGCAATGCTACACAGAATGCTTATTCTGAGATGCAACTCGAATTTTACTCTCTATTTGTTATAACAATGAGTATCCCGCAAAATATAATTCAGTTAATATGTATTAAAATGAATCGCACTTAATCTTATTGTATTCATAATTTTAATAATAATATAAGTAAAATTTCGATTGCATTACTTTAAGAATAAACATTCTGTATCACATAGATCGTAATTGTCTACGTATATAATAATACATATATGAATGTATGTCTCTCTTCACGTGCTGATATTGGCTTCTCTGTTTCTTGTCTGTTTCTGTCTGCCATCTCTGTCTGTCTGCATGCTGTGGGACGCTCGGATACGAAAATACCGAATCGAACCACCCTCCTGCACTGCGTAAACTGCGATGGTGTAAATCCTCGTTTCGTAAAACAAAAAAAATCGATAAACGAACAAATAATAATCCATTCATGGCGTAAATGATGGCCCGCCACATCTGACGGTGACAATGATGATGATGACGATGATGATGATGATGATGATGATGATGATGATGATGATGATGATGATGATGATAATGATGATGATGATGAATGCTAATGATGATGACGGTGATGACGACGAATTACATACATACAATACGCATACAGAGAACTACCACGGCTCTAACACTGTATTTTTAGTTGGTATGCTCATGTCGGTGGTAGGGGGTGTTTTCGTAGTATTTGCTCTGATGGCTCTCTGCTACAGGTCAGTCGTAGTACATAAAAACTTCTCCCTCTGTCTCAGGTTAGTGTGCAGAAACATACAAGTAGAACTTTTCTCTTTATGTCCTACTTCTCTCTTTTTTATTTTTCTCTCTTTTTCTCTTTCCATCTTTCTTATTTTTCTTCTCTCTATCTCTTTCTCTCTTTCTGTCTCCACTTCTGTACATGCTGCAAGGTATGGAAGGAGTGTATGCGAGTGGCACGCTGTTCTTTGGCAAATTTGTAATGCAGCTTCTTTTCTCAGCAAATAATTTCATTGCTTAATGTTCATAGCTTCCGTATTTATAGCAGTGAGCATTAATAAAATCTTAAAATCTCAATTATTCGTGTAATTTAATTACATGATATGTAATTTCATCTTTATTTCATAATCGATTAATAATTTAGTTAATATATTTAACATCATATATTTCGCACTTACTTTCTCTCTCTCTCTCTCTCTCTCTCTCTCTCTCTCTTCCTCTTTCTCTTGATAAAGCTCAATATTTTTCAATTAACATAATTTTTATATTCTTTAAATCATTACTTACGTTTTAAACTATAATTCTTAGTTCTTAAAATAACTTAATATATTTTAGAAATTAAATTTAAAAAATCGTTTTTATCTTAACGTTTTTGTCTGAATTAGTAAATTTTATTTTGCAATAATTAATTAAAGGACTGTCGCAAATAAAAGTTTTGATTAAACCGCTTGTTAAGAAGTCTAATTATAAATTGGTCGAAGAATAAAACTTTGCTACTATCATACGCTCTTTCCGCTACCCTCTTTATGCATTTATACATATGTACATGCATATATTCATGCCATTAGACTTGATACCTTTTTGTATCTCTTTTATACTTTTATACTTTTATACTCTTTTACACTCTTTAATATTTTTTCCATCATGATTTTCATTCTCTTTCCTAATGATAAGAAGAATTGTATATGCAAAATATTACGAACTTTGCCCCTGAGCACAATAATTAGTACTGAAATATTTATATCAACAATTATATCAACATCATCTAAAATATTTAAATATTTTCTATTTAATTGCACATTTTAATATTAAGATTTCTTTTTGTTTGACAAGAAAAAAATTGTTACAATACTCAAAAAAGTGAAATATTATCCTTTTATAAAATTCAATGTTTATTATTAAGCTTAACTTATTGTCTTATTCGTTTAACCCAAAGCAGCATATAGTATCTTTCTTTCTGAGAAAGATTACAATAGTTTTAATTTTGGAATAATAATTGTAAAAACAATTTATGTAATTATCAAAACGCGGCGTCATGAATAAAAGCGATAATATTATCTTGGTAAATATTTTCAAAAGTTTCTTCGCTGCTATATTTTAATGCTGTTTAGAGTTAAACTTGTCTTTTTGTCTTTTACTAATTAGTTAATGGGTACTGCAGCGGAGGGTGATCCCTGTAAGGGTAGCTGCAAACGTACCAATTGACTGGTTATTAACTGTTTTGCTTCGGAATTTTGCATGTCAAGAGGATCCGTTGACTTCCATAAGAATGTAGATCGACCGTTGAGCAAATGCAAATTTTGCTTATAATGCTTATGTTATTTGTAAACATTTTTTGATCACAGAATTATGTACGTAGACTCTGATGAACCTCATCCGCCAGTTTAAGAGGGATTATCGACCACCTGTTCCATGATTATTGACCATATGTTCATTTGCACCGGTGGACTCGTATGTCAAGATAAATAAATAAGAACAATCATCGCAGAATATTGAATTAAACATTGCTGAATATTAATAATTATGAGCTACATATATTGTATTAGACATCAATGACGATAATGTTTAAGATTTGATTAATATTGTTGATAGTATTAGAAGATTGTTATTTATTTTAATATTTAATTTAAAATAAATTATACATATATATAATAAAAATTTAATATGAAATTTTCTTACACAAATATCAAAAGAAAATTTTGTATTAAATTTTTATTACATAAACAAAGTTTATATTTTAATTTGGATTCTTGATTTATCGAATTTTCGACAAATTCTTTGAACTTTGTATGTTACCAATCTTCTTTCTGTATTTTTATAACAAATTCAGTATTCTACATCAGTTACTCCAGGTAACTTTTTGCTTTTATCTAATTAACAATTAGATAAAATTGTTTTAATATAACTAACTTCAAACTAAATCGTACACTGGCAGTTACGCTAATAATTAATAACAAAATTAATCGGTCCATGCAATGATAATCCCTTTTAACATTGTTAATACCTTGAAAATTATCCGTACTTTTCGAACGAATACTTTTTCTCTAGCTTGCATGCGCTTTATCACTTTTTCCCGCGATATAAAAGTAACAGGCTATGCGTAATGGGCGAATTTTTCGCAGAAGGAAGAGCACCGTCCAGAAGTACGACCCGCCATACTCGAAAAAGCCGCAGCAGAAGAGCTACAGCGGCGTTTCCGGTAATCATCATGCGGAAGCTGCGGCATTGGACACGGTCAACAAGATCCTCACTTTCGGCAGTATGCCTCAGTACAGGTACGGCGGTCATTTCGTTGCTTATTTTGCTAGTCTGGATTCCAGAGAGTTTTTTAAGATTACGTTGGAAGAGCTTGTCGAAAATTAACGAGTTTTGCAAGAAATGGGTAAAGTATATAGAGAATTCGCCACAAAATCAAATCTTTAAAGTGAAATTCCCATAAATGTACGAAGTAGAGATTCGATTCTTAAAATTATAGTAGACGTTAGAAAAAAAGTTTAAAGCAAATTGCAAGCGAGATAATTTCTTTTTTTTACGATTTTAATGTTTCCAGTGAACTAATGGTTACATCTTTCTCTTATTAAAAATTTCATAAAGGTTATAGTTATATTAAAAAGTATAATTATTTACACTTTATAATTGATTACAAATTATTATATTAACAAGAATTTACATTAGTAATAAGAGCATCCCATTACATCTTATCTCATTTCTCATCATATTCTCCGTCATTTCTTACACAATCGGCAAATCTTAAAGTGCATGTTAAACATATATTTTTTTAAACCATCGCGACGTTAAACTATCCCAGAATTCGTCCCACAAGTGTTAATTAAATATCATGCGTTTATCGGTGTATGGTGTAGGATTTATTGCAGCTCGAGATGCTTCTGTCGTTCGATCGTTTTCGAGGAGCATCGTTATTACGACGAACGAAGTTCGCAGTATATTCTTGTAATTTAGATAGCTACAAGAAAGGCCAAAAATTATCGATGAATAATTAATTCACTATAACTAAATAACTAATTCAAAATAAGTTTTGTGATATTTTTTAAAGAAAAACAGTAAATTCTCAATTCTTCTTTTGTATCGCTTTTCAATGGTATTTTTGGCCTATTCTGTATAACAAGTTACGCTTATTATTGAAAATGCGCGAGCTGCTTTGTAAGAAGTGAGCTGAAGTTTGCTTGAATTAATGTGACTTTGGAGTTCGATACCTTTTTATTTCAGGTAAATCTCGACTCCGAAACTTCACACAAGCTTTAGTATGCGCTTTATCTAACAATCTTCCCAATACTGTTAATTGCATTTTAAATCTCTAAATATAAAATATCGAATTTATGAATTAATCGAATATATGAAATTACAAAATAAAATATGCAGATATAATGGATTATTATATATCAAAAAGAAATGAAATTATTATAAAATTATTATATTTTCATGAGATGAGTTTCTCTTTCACAAAGCTTCGTTTCTGGTTCGTTACAGATTGATAATAATTTAAATTACAATATCAAGTTGCAACATTTTATAAATCTGATCCAGAAATTTTAAGCCAGCAGTTGGAATTTGATAAAATAAATCTTGTAATAATAAACTATATATAATTTATTTAATTCTTAAACGAGTTTATCTTGATAATAAAATCGAAGCGCGCGAACGACAGAAAATTACGAGCCACGCTCGATCAATTTCTTTTATTTCGCAAGTAAAAAAGTGAAAGATAGCATTACACTCACAGAATTTTATTAACCCTCAATTATTATGAAAAGTGCAGCGCTGATTTTCGTGCAGAAGTAATTTTATTTAAACATGTTGACAAATATACAATTTACAATTCTATTTATTTGTTTGATTTATTGCAGAAACTGGGCAAAATATTTTCCTAAATTATTGAACTTTTCATTAGTTAAGATAATTTTGATCGTCAAAATAGTCTATGATAATCTTTTAATGTAATGTGTGTAGATTACTAACGGAAATAATTATAATAAATAAATTACTCATTACTCTGATTATTTATAATATAAAGAAGATAAGAGAGAAAATTCATATAAAAATTATATCAACTATATAATATCTATAAGTTTTATTGCAATGCCAATATGTCACTTTCTAACAAGCATTTTCTAACAATATAGTGTGTCATTTCATAAACTGTTTCAAAAATAGAAAACTAAACTTTGTGACTGTGTTATAATAATAGAAGAAGGAACACGTTTCTTAATGGAGTCAAAATTAAAAGCGGGTTAAACGAACGGTGCACATGGTAGTTGAGGGTTAGTAAGAATAGCCGCGGCATGCCTATATTAGTATATTTCTAGCCGCGGCGAGACCCAGCGCGTGCTGTTTCGACACCCGAATAACGTCGTCACCGCCGACGGGCCAAGAGTCAAGTAAGTCTCATGTGTGTCGCCGTCATGTTTACTATCAGGTTTGATCCAATCAAGGAATTTTTACTATCTTCCCCTCGAAGACAATCCATTGAAAAAAAAGAAATTCATCTTGATGACATTCTTTAATTAACGGTTGCCAGTTAAGAATACATTGCAATTAACAAAAATGAAACGTTCTAGTATTTTATTAGTCATAGAAATTTCAATAGATCACTTATGTGATAATTATTAATTAAAATTCGGTAAAAGCAAAAAAGTAAAATAATATTCATGTAAGATTTTTTGTACATTGCATTCGTAACAATATTAATCTATAGTAATTTTAATCCGTTGCCATCTTAATATTTATTCCTTACTTGGATCATGATTTTGTCAACGATCGCTGCAATTCTCGATCGGCGATCCATCTGCGTCTTAAAGACACAAGACATTAATATCGTCGCGTTACGGTTGTTATAATCGTAGCTTCGTAAATTTTTATGAATCTAGATTTTAAGAATCTAGAGTCAAAATTTTTCTTTGTATGTAATTATGTTTATTAATCCGGCCCCGAATACGTCCTTCATTTCTCTTCTTGTATTTCGCACGAAACCATTTTCTGCACAATCACGTTTTTAATAATTCAGCTGATTTTGCAACACACACGCTGCGGTCGAACTGAATATGAACGATTCGATCCTCGCATGCTTATCGCATTCAAATGTTTATTATTTTATTTTGCTGTAACTTTTTTGTTCATCGCATGATAATAGGTGCACTTATAAAGCGGCGTCTAGAATAAGCAGTAGCAGTAATGAATTAAAGAGTAAGAGTTAAGAGTAAATTGTAGGATTAAAGTCTCCTTATGTCCGAGAATCTACATATAGAGAAGACATATAAATAAAGATTAAAATAAACCAATGTGAAAATTGCATTGGCTCCTATTGCGCGCGTTTCGTGCTACTGCTGAGATCTCATTGGCTGAAGTAAAAAAGTAGCAGTAGGAAATAGATTTCAACTATTTCGCTTACGGACTTACTCTACGCCCTATTACACCGAAAAACCAGCTTACTTTGACATGTTACTCCTTAATCTATTACTGCTACTGCCCATTGTAGATGCCGCTTAAAGTATCCCAGTATCATCCGCATTGTCTTCTTTTCAAAAAGATAGTTGGTGAATCTGGGGTACTATGTGTACAGCTAAATATCGCCAGTCGTTAATTATAATAAACCCAAGACACTCACTCAGGAATTTTTCATTTAGCATCTCTTTCATCGCAAAAACATCATTAAATAATTTATCACCGTTCATTCTCGCAATCAGACAATGATAGGATAATTGCAATAGTTACCGCAATTAACAAAAAAATGTGATTCTCAAATATAAAAATTGCAGCAATTATTGCAAATATTTATGATTATAATATCTATTTATTATTCGAATAATAAAAGCATTAATTGTTAATAACTAAATCAAAATTTTTCGAAATTTATGTCCCTCTATATATAGATAAAAATCATTAACTGCAATTAAACAATTTGTTTCTTATCAATTATTGTCAGATTTATAATACCTGTTTAATTTAAAAAAAAATGCAGGCAATAATCATATTAAGCGGTCCGTATGTACGTGTGTGTATGTATGTGTATGTATGATATATGTTAATGACAATGTTCCATGGAATCTGCAAACTTAACTTCGTATATCCTTATCTTATTTCGGTTTATAAAACAATGTTTATAAACCGATAGTTTAATGTCACGTTACTGTGAAGAGCAGTTATGATTGGGAGAGTTTAAGGTTCAAGATCTATTTTCGTTTTATGTTCTAATACTTTTAAAAGATTAACACGAAATTTCTGCACATTTATTTTCGCGGAGACGAAAGTTAACACAAGGTATTAGTAAATACCGACATAGATCTGATCGATCTTTCAGGGAGCATAAACCGCAGCCGAAGAGGCTCGGCGTGGAGGAGGAAGATGGAGGTACGGGAGCAGAGGAGGTTGTCTCTTTCATTGATCTCCCACCAAACAATCTCACAAAGTTGCCTGAGAAGGGAATTTTAAAGAAACACGGTGGTTACGGTATTGTAATGCCTGATAGTTGTAACACAACAAGTGAGCGTGATGACTCACGATAACCCGTGAAGAATAGCTGAAGGAAGCTCGAACTTTGGCGAGTCGAAAGATCAAGCGAAAGCTAGCCGAACTTGTAGCTCGACAATATGCAGACAATCACACAATGTTGCAATAATAAAATTCATTGTTATAAAAAAAGAATTCTCTAACCAAAGATTTTAATTTCATTACTTGTACTCCAAAATTATTTTGAATAATAGCCAATCTTATATTTCAATCTTAAAAAATATCAATAAATATACTATTTTTTATTCTTAAAATGTTACTTTAGAAAATATACACTCATAATGTCACTTTTAGAAAAATAATTATTTAGAAAATTACGCTAGTACGAATTGTTGTCGTTTAATTTTACAATTATTATTATTGTTTTTTATAATTTATTATACATATAAGGTATGGAAATTAAAGTATATATAGTTCTTTTAACATGTTATTGAATCAAAAAAGTATTTTTAGTTTCTTGCAAAGTTAAATAGCCATATTTTCCATTTTATACGCAGAGATTAATATTAATTTTCAAGCGATCGTGTGTCTAAAGAAATTATGTACAATCTCGCGCATACTACATGCTCGGTTGTCTTTCGTCCCTTGCGAGTTCGAACTTCTTGCATCGATTCTTCACGAACGTTAACCCTTTATAAATCAGTTTCTCACATGCTTCATTTTTATCACTAAGTAAAAACGGTTAGCAAATACAAATTAATTCAATACGTATTTATAAAAATTAACGTCACAAAAGATTTAATAATTAATAACTTGGGATTTAATATCATCTATCTTAGATATAAGGGGTTAATACAGAACTTCATAAAAGGATTTTTTTAAAAGACTTTATAATCACTTAACTCTTTCGTGCGCTAATTCTCCAAATTTCCAATTTATTATTTTATTATATACAAATATAATAAAACAGACTAGGATCATATTTATCTTTTATAAAAGCTAGTAAGGAAATGTGGATTACAAACAAATATTACTAATTATTACTAATAGGTATCAATAATTCACGAATATGCACGCGAGAGGAATTTATTAATTTCGAGAAAAAATGGAAAGGAAGACCTGCGCACGAAAGGATAATGCAAACTGCACCACCGAAAGTCTTTTTTGTTTATGGAGCGGTAACTCACGAGTCACGTATTTGCCAGGACTAGGTGGAGGTACGATCGAGCACGTGGAAAGAACTCTGAATCATTTGAATGGCTATCACGATGATCTAATCGAGGTGCTGAAGACCGCGGCGGGCGCGGCGAGCCGTCGCGATCTCGTGGGCACCCCGTCGGGCAGTAGCAATCTCCTGGACGAGGACGTGATACGCAAGTCGCTGGCCGAGTGCGGATATCCCGACATGTATCGCAAGGACACCGATGGTCAGGACAACGGCATCGATAACGGACAAGAGGAAGAGGAAGACGACGTGGAGCTGCAGCCGCCGTGCGGCACCATTCGTATACGCAATCTCGAGGATCTCATTCGTCAACTTGAGCACCGAGCAACCGCGAGGTACAAATCTTTATATATAACAATATATCAAAATTATTGTTTCTTTCGCGTGCTTCGGAAATTTTTAGATCCTTTACAGGTTCTTAAATACTGAATTTTAAATATCGATATACTAAAATCTCAGATCGCAAAATAAATTTTGACCTTGGAACTATGAATTGTCTTTAACTTCAACACTATGCACTCATCGACTGTTTGATTTTTATAATCAAGTCTGATGTTCGTTTTTTTTTAATCAAAAAGATATCAATAATTAATCCTGTTATCAGACCCTACATGACTAGCCAGATGAGTCCGAGCGGTTCCGAAGAGATTCGAACATCCGAGACCGAACCGGATCGTCATTACAAAATCGATTCTTCTGTTTGTAGCGAGTCATCACAAGGGTAAGAACTTATGAGAGAAAAATTACGCGCGCTTATGACAGGCAAGCTTTTTAAAACTCAACTCAGAACAATGAGCGTTAATTTCGACTTAACATCGAGATGATAATTTCAAACTACAAGGATGTTTATTACGCAGTACACGAAAAATATTCTTAGACGTTTTAGCAATACTTTGTAAATTAGACATTTGTTTTTAATTCAACGGTGTATTCTTATCGAAACGATTGGCTAAATACGTTTGAGCTTCTTCATACTTTGTTAATCACAATTATTGTCAGCAGACATTTCACACGCTGCCATAACTCTCACTGTGAATCGCTTACTATCTTCTCTTTCGCAAATTTATTATCTTAACCCTCTCATATGCCGTTAATTGCAATAGCAAATTGTCATAACATTTTTATAAATATCTAAATTACACTTTTAAAAATTCAAATCAATTTTATTATCTCATTCTAACATTAATTTGAATGTAACTCTTATATTTAACAATTTTTTGTATAATAATTTATTATATTTAATAATTTTTGTATATGTATAATTAATATTATATATACTATATATTCTTTGTTCATTACTTCCAATATCGTATATTTTTATTGTATATTTTAATCTCCAATCTTCAAAAACCAAGTTAATTTTTCATAGAGAATTACGTATGCAAAATTATATAATGCTTCATGTTTTAAAGTAAATAAAAAAGCAAGAAATAAAAACAAAAAAATAATGCAAATTGATGCATTTTGTATAAAAGTAATGGAAATAATTATTAATATACAATGAGAGGGTTAATTTATTATCTTATTCTGCTTCCTATCTTGCGCATCAAAAGGCTGTCAGACTCGACGCATTTATTTATGTATATCAGACACCATATTCGATGTTTTGTGAAACCGTAGATTACAGTAAAACACGCGCAAGGGGATAACGAGAGAGAAAAAGGGATACACACTTGGTAATAATAAATCATTATTAAGTATTTACGCATAGAAAAATTTACTCAAAAGGCATAAGATGCGGAGTCTGTTTATACTAAATGATCGACATAAAAAGTTTAATTACAATAATAATTGTGATCTAATTAAAATATTATTGAGGCGCCGAATAGCAGCAGAATTGTAAATAAACTTTTTAGCAAAAGTAAAATTGACTTACCGATACCAGGTGTGAATGTCGCTGTTGCCGCATTCTGGAAGATTAAAAAACATAACTGATTATATTATAAGTTACACAAAAAGCATATAAACAATTAATTAAAAGAAAATAGAACAAATAGAGATAAACGGCCCGCGTTTATTTTCTTTATAAATTAAATTTTATATATGTAATATCTGAATTAAATTCTCAAGTATCTAGCAACAGAAATTAAATTCCGAATAGCGTATAGAATGCTCCGCGTGAGTGAAAGTGTCGCGTAGACCCGTGGACTTATACAGGAATTGATTGGATTTCCTACGTAGAAGCAGAAGATGTAGCCGCGGCCGCGACGAGGACGCTAGTAGATTCGTCTACGGTAGATACCGTCAACCGACGTCCCGAAGTCCTTACGGCAATCATCAACACACCCATCAACACTCCCATCAAATGCACCTTGAGGACGAGGGTATCTATGAAACTGCCGATCCTGACAGAGGCTCAAATACTAGGGGTGAAACACCCGATTGTGAAAGGTATTGCAAGAATATGCGTCACGAAAAACCCTGCGGCTTCACTAGTAGCAATTATTCACTGTCACCGAGACACACACGTTATATCGGCTCACGTCTGTATCACGTCTGCTCCCTCTATATCACGAATCCCACAATAACTCACATATGTCTCAGATAAGGATGGTGCATGTGTTGTCGTTTGCGAAAAGAAAATTGAATCGAAATGTCGATGAAGCTGAACATCAGAATGATTGTAAACAGTGTTTAAAATCGTATGTCGTACCGCACATTAGTGAAAGGCGCAATTTAAATAGCGATCCGAGAGGAGGCAGGATTTTAGATTTAGAAAAGAAAGCTGAATTTGTAATTTGTTAGAAAGATTTTTCTGTTTTCGCGGATATTCGGGAGAATGACGTAATACGTAAAACAGAAAATTGGGAGTATTGTGAAAATCGCAATACTACTGGCCGGAGAATCTGAAAACTACGTAAAGTATAAATGGACTCGGCATACAATATTTAATTCCGCAGTTGCAGCGTTTGCAATTGCATCGCAGATTGAATTAATAAAGCAGTTTGTTAAGAATAATGCAACGTATAAAATATTGCAGAGAGAAGCTAAGTGCACACGAAAGTCTGCATGCTTTTTCGTTTGCTTCTGCATTGTATGAATGTTGCTCTAAACAATAACAACACACATGTGTGGCTAGTGAACTCGAGATACAAAATACGTCCCAAATCTATTAGACACTCTTCTCCAAATAGCATAGAAATTAAACATTGACAGTTTTCGCTTTATAATCAATTAATCTTTTTTTTTATTTTCAATTAACTTTCACGCAATTGATTAATGAACCTAAACAGATCTGGGACATTTAACAGAACTCATGATTATGAAATCTCGTGCATGTCGCTTCTAGCATTTTGCATTGCAAAAACTCGTTAAACTGTGATAGATGAATTTCTCAATTTCTCAAGCGACTCTAAGAGACTTTATCCAATCTATTTCGCGCAATGAAATGATCATCTAAACATTGTGATCGATGTACGCACTTATCCTTATCTGAAATTTCTCTTCGTTGATAATGTGTATAAGGAATGTTGAATTAAAATAGCAATCGTAGTGATGAGTCACGAGGCTACGCACGCGCTTTAAATGTCTTAATTAACTTTTCAATTTATAATGTGTGTACGTGATTTCTTCCATAGAGCCTAACTTGAATCTAACTAGAGCTAAGATAAATCATTATATGAAATGAATTTTCTCGTGTAAAATTAGTCAAACATTATAAAATTATAAAAATTATTAAATTCAAGAACATCTTTGTCTTGAATTTAATTGTATTATTCATGACTTACATGCAGGTCTAGTTCAAATTATCATTGATTATTATAAAAATTATTATAAAATATATATTGAACAATATATTCTTTTAACTACTAATTGATAACTTCTGGAATTTATATTTTTAATTAAAAAAAAAATTAGCTTTGCGTTAATCTTTATTATTTAGATATGATTAATCCAAATAAAATACATAAATTAGTATACGTAAAAACTTTATGTAGAAAGAATTCCTACAACTTTTTACGCCCATGAATAAGCAATAATTAATTTAGTAATACAATTATATTACTTATTAAATATTATATCATAAAAATTACATTTTGATACAATTTACTCATCATGGGTACAATTTTTCAATTATTAATTCATCAAAATTTCCAATTAAGAACATTTGCTGATTTGTCAATTCTGTCTACTACTCCTTTCTATATAAATACTATTATAAATTTTTTTATCACACATTAGCGGCCTAATTACAAAGCTCCTAAAGAATAATCACGTATACATTAACAGCTCCCGCTTCTGGGTCGACTGGTTTCACCATTCGCTCCGTTTACTGACAATGAATGTTGTTACGTCGTGCATTCGAATGCAGCATTAGTGGCGGTGGACTAGATCCAATGGGCTCGTGTAATCTTATTATTTTCTAGTGATGCATTTATTCAAGCTCAACAACAAGTAGCCCGGTGGACTAGTGAGGATGGAGGAGGAGGAGGAGGAGGAGTGCAGCACCGGCCGCCGCAGCAGCCACCACCGCCGCCTGCGATGCCGGTGCAGCAACAGGCGCAGCAGCAGCAGCAACAGCAGCAGCAGCAACAACAGCAACACCAACTGCCGGTGGAACAACTGCCAATCACGCAGCGCGGCTATTATCCATCCCCCCCACAAAACGAAAACAACCACGACGCCGGCAGCAACGCCGAAGTCGAATCTGCTCAATCCAAGCAACAGCAAACGCTAAGCGAAGTTCATGGAATCGATATTAGTCACATGCCTAATATTAACAAACGCCCGCTAGACGATAACTTTAGTCTAGATTGTAACATAATGAATAATGATTCCCCTAAAGATTTAATTACCAACAACACTAGTGATAACGAAAATACTGCCCTACTGCCCCCCCATTTTCCCGAATACAAACATTGATAATTAATTAATCGATGACAGGTAGTGTCCGAGAAAAAAAAAAGAAAGAAATGGGAAAAGTCGTAATAATAATATTAATAATAATAATAATAATAAAACAGTATAGTGGTGTGACAATGATGATGACGATGACGACGATGATGTAATCTCGAACTCGCATTTTATACTGAATAGTGTAAATAACGATAAACTGTAATTGCGACGATTACAAGAACAACAACAACAACAACAACACGTATTAAATTATAATGAATTCAAATAATCTATATGAAATGTTTATTAATAAACATTAGTAAAATGATTTACTCAAATCTCCGTGTTTGTTATTTCATCTCTCTGCATGAATTTAATTAATTATGCTTAATAAAGATATAAATTTACATTTGACTGCATGGGTAAAATCGAAAATATCTTTAATTTTCTAATTCTATGTACATATAAATATATATAATATAGGGTGTAACTTAAATAACGACCACTAATCATATAGCGTTATTCCTGATAAAAAATTGAGTCAAAAAGTCCTGAACCATTTTTTTCTACAATTCTTAATTATGCAGTTATTCTCAAGTTAAACTAATCCAATCTACGCCGTTTTTTAGACGGGCGGACATCAGTGAGCCGCGCGCGTAGTAGTGTACGTGAGCGATCCGCCGCGCGTCACGCCGCTATGTTCACGCACACTACTACGCTCGCGGTTCATTGATGTGCACCCGTCTAAAGAACGGCGCCGATTGGATTAGTTTAACTAGGAGAATAACTGCATAATTAAGAATTGTAGAAAAAAAAGACTTAAGACTTTTTGACTCAATTTTTTATCAGGAATAGCGCTATATACTTAGTGGTTGTCATTTAAGTTACACCCGTATATATGTATATGTATTTTATTTATTTCATATATATTGTAATTTTATTTTAGTCAATCAAGATGACACATTCATGTATTTGCACTATTTATAATTTATTAATTGTTATGCCCGCGCTGAGTCGATCTCTCGAGTACGTCAAATCGAGATGCTGACAGGATGAAGAAAATGAAAAGCGTGTATTTCTTAAACAACGAGTTGTGCGTTGTCAAACGGTCAACTAAGAGATTTGGAGCCGTCGACTCGTTCGGACGTGCTCTGATCTACTCTGTATAAACGATCTCTTTACGTTCTGTTGTGTTATAATAAAGAGAGTTATCCTTTTGTTAAGTGAAAGAATGTCATTTTTATTTCCCTCGGCTTTGCTAGTGCGCGTGCACGGATGCGAGAACGCGCGAGTGATTAAAAAACGTCTCCTAGGTGTAACAATATATAATATAAGATATACGATATACGTAGACTCAGTTACGCAATTATTCTATCATTAAAAATAGTGCCTACAATAAAGTAACATTTAGTGTTTAATATGCGGCGCCTGATTATTACTCAATTTTTATTAATAATAACAAATAAAAAAGCTTTATCTATTTGAAACGGTGCAAAATACACGCCGGCGTAATATACTTTATTAACTCTAGCTGCTATAATGATTAATCATATCTGTTGTAATAGACTTACACTCTTTCTTCCCCAGGATCGTCGAGCTTCAATCCCGCAACAATCCTTCCTCCATATATCTTCATTTACGTGATAATATTTACTATGCTACATCAATGTTGTATAGATAATATACATATACACGCATTTTCAGACATTGCTTTTTTTATATTAAAGAATTCATATATAGGTTCATTAGTAAAAATACTATTCTATCTAAGTAAGAGACTGCCATCATACAGAAGAACGAGCAGAAAGAAATTAAAATATGAAGAAAAACCTCGAGCATCAAGGAGGCAATTCCGTAAACTAATGTAATTAAAAATATGCAGTAAATACAGAAGCAAAATTCATCAAATTTTCAAGACCGCAAACACGACTAAATAATTTGATAATTGATTTAGTCTCAAAGATGGTTTTCATTATTTATTTAACTCAACTAACATTATTAAAATGTTACATTTAACTACCTAATAATTAATTTTTTTAATTTTTCTACAAATTTTTAGTTTTTCTGCAATATATTAAAAATATTGTTAACTTAAACGAATACATCTTTTAGCAATAAGATATTATTTTTTAAATAGAAAATTATATGTAATTTTGAATATACACCATTTTGAATGGTCTCATTATAATCTTTATATATTATATATTCCTTTTTTGTGTTGTAGATGTGTGTTATAACTCCCTTTCACCATGAAGTATTTTTATACACATTTGTTTTCTGAACGTTTGCCTCAAATTTTTCAAAATAATAAAAATCATATTTAAAAAACAAAAGAAGTGTACTCTAAAAGTGAAAATGAGAAAATACATTTATTTGTAACAATAATATCACACATTCGGCTATGTTGAGGGTTATCAGTGTTTATATTCTATTTCAAGTTTCTTTTATTATCAACAGAGATCACGTGTCTACGTTTGCAATCTTGAAACTGGAAGCCCATCTCACACAAAGCAGAACTTATTTGGAAGTTAGTAGCGGATTTATAATTTTTTGTAAAGACGTATTGATATATAAAAAAAAAATTATATTTATCCGCTGCAAAAAACCTGAATAAGACCAAAAATGTACAATAAAAGTATTATATTAAGAATATGTAGTAACATTATGTAAGAATATGTAAATTCAAGAATTAGAAGATTATATAAAAATATGTAAATAATTGGTATAAAAAATTTCTTACGCACTGCGTGTTGACTTTTACGTTTCACCCTTTAATCAATTCTTAATTTAATCAATTCTTGTGAGTTTTTTAAATTTGAGAGTCAGATATATATATTAGATAGTATATTTTTAGGTGAGAATCCAAATCCAAATATGTCACAGGCATATAAACAGAGACAACTTATTCATCATAATATTTGAAATCAAATAGCTAATCCGTACATAAAATTGCTTGTAAGTGAGAAAATAAAAAGATAATAACACTCAGGCATCCGTAAACGGAGAGAATTTTTTTTTAATTTATCCTGCAAATCATGTTAATTGTGGGACAATATAATATTTAGTACTACATATGTAACAAGCTAATATAATATGTATATTATGTATATATAGGGTTTTCCAAAGTTTACCTTTATCAAACCAATGTCATTAATATTTCTTCTCTTAAGATGATCATCATATTGCTTGTGGTACCACACCATTATCGGTTTATAATCATATCTCCCTTGATTGACATAGGTTGTACCAACAACGATATACGTATAATCCATAAGCTCGTCCAGAATTATGCACAGCACGAATACGCGGCAGTTAGAATATGATATGGACTAATTATGCTGCCGCCGCAAAATAAAATTTTATTGTAATGTACAGTAAAATTTTACAGTAAAATATATATATATTAGTGCTCGGAAAATCCGGGTATCCGAGTACCCGCCCGCCCGCCCGTCATTCGTTGCACACGGCCATACTTTACTGGGTGTCTGAATACTTTTTTACAGTAAAATTTATTGTAATGCACAATAAAATTTGCCTAAATACTATATTGTCCCACAATTAACATAATTTTCAGGGTAAATTTAAAAAAAAATTCTCTCCGTATATAAGTCCTTACTTTTAAAGCATTTAATAATATCAATCAAAAAAGGAATGAAAAAAAAAACAAAAAATCAAGAAAGTCTTTCTATTTCATTTCTAAATGCTGTTTCTTTCAGCTACTATCGAGCAGAAAGGCTTGACACCATTATTGAACAACCTAAGGAAACTCGGTGGCTGGCCCGTTTTGGACGGTAAAAGATGGAACGAGGACGATTTTACTTAAAAAGATTCTGTCTACAGATTCCGCAGATTGAGCTATCCCATTAATTACTTCATCGGTTTCAGTATTAAAGACGACTGGAAGAATAATTCGAGACGTTTGATCTACGTAAGCACGTAATTTATCCTAAAATATCAGAATAAACCGAATATGGCATTTGTTTCCAATTAGTACAATAAATAAAAATTTATAATTCTTTATAGCTCGAACACCGTCTTTCGCGCGAAGATCTGTTGAATGATTTTGACGATAAAATCGTCCAGGCATATTATAAGTACATGGTGGATCATCGCTACAATTCTCGAAGCCAATCCAGATCGGACTAATAGAGAATTAGAAGACTCACTTAAATTTGAAATCAAGCTTGCAAACGTAAGTCATCCTTAATTATTAATCGATACAAAATAATTGTAAATAAAGTTTCAACAAAATTTCCAAATTACCGATCGATTGAAATTAATGTTAAATGATTAATCGGATAAATATGTACGCAGATCTCGCTGCCCAACGTGAAACGCCACGTGACTCTTCTCTACTCCCGTGAATGTGAGTGAGCTGTCCGCTGTTTATCCTAACATACCGTGGGAGGAATATTTTAACACCATCCTCGCGCCGCAAGCACAACTAAGGCAGGACGAGATAGTCATCGTGAATGACCAGCTACCTATAGGACTTCAAACAGCTCATCACAACGACACCGAAGAAGGTGTAGGCAAACTATGCCCTTTGGAGAGCAACGGATGCATCTGTCAGGTATCTGACGGATGACATCCGGAAAAGGGAGCTGAAGTACACAGTTGAATTAAACAGTAAAACAAAGAGACAACCAAGATGGAAAGAATGCGTAAACATCGTTTCTGGCAGTATGCCAATTAGCGTTGGCTCGATGTACGTGAGAAAGTATTTTAAAGAGGATACGAAGAAAGCTGTACTCGAAATGGTCGACGATATCACACAGGAATTCATAAAGATCTTGAAGAAGGTGAGACAATATACAAAAATTTTAATTTAATTTTGTCACATACGTATATTTTTGTCAATAAATTAGAATTTTAGAAATGAGATTTTAGTTATCAATATTTGTTAGTAGTAAATATATGTATATTAAAAATATTAATTCTAAAATTCTCTATCATATATTTGGAAAGGTTACTAACTTTTTAATGAAATTACATGCATTTTTAGGTGGACTGGACGGATGAGAAAATTAGAACAAACGCTTTAAAAAAAGCAGCCGACATGATATCACGTTACTGCCTATCCAAATGAATTGTTGGACGATAGAAAGCTCGAGAAATTTTATGAGAATCTTGAATTGAGCGCTGACGAAAATATAGGGAACATTCTTAATGGGTCTACCTTTGATAGAAATTTCTTATTTAGTAGACTGAAACTGCCAGTGAATAGGACAGAATGGATAAGTCATAAAATGTCGACTATGACCGTCAGTGCTAAGTACGATTTGATCGAAAACAGTATTGATAACTAGAAACAATTCCGTTAAAGCACATATTAATATCCCAAAAAACACAGAGATTTCAAAAAAAATTTATTCATATATTTAAACGTATGTCAATTTTGAATTCATTTTCTACCAATTCTGAAAAAGAATTCTTTATGCATCTGAAAATAAACTCAAAATTTATGGCATGTAACTAAATATACGACTGATTTTTTTTTTACTCTGTGTGCTATCTGGGTAGACAATTATATCGATAAAATATGAAAAAACTGCAGTAGTCATATGAGTTATTTTGCAACTCAGACTTATTGGCTAGCCCTTTTAAAAGCCTTTTGAAATTTTTTTTTAATTATATTAATATTTTTATTTTAATTGCCCGATCGGCTCCAGAATGAACCCCGTGAAGAAATGTACTGTGTGATAGATTTCAGATTTCAGCAAAATCGTGTGAACGGCATCGGTTAAGACTTTGTTTTTAACCTTAGATGTTATACAATTCCGTATCATCTTTGCTACATTGAAACAACTAATTTTATTCTTGATTAGTTATTATATTTATACAGAGTTTTATTGCTTAACTTCTTTAGTATATTGTACAAGATATTAATAATGTTTTTGCTAATTATGTCAATATTTGTCAGAGATTTTAAATTAATACATAGAAAATCAGTTAAATTAAAACTCTAATGTTTCTAATTTTAGAATTTTTATGGACGTATTTCATATACCATAATAAAAAAATATTGACAATTTTATTAAGAATTCTTTGTTAAGTCTTGCTTAGAATAAATTGTAAGATACTTTATAACGCGGAGAAAAATAATAAAGTGTGCGCAGTATAATATACTATACGGGGTTCACAAAATCGAATAGTGAGAAATATAAATAGAACAACATATAGAACAGAATATTCTTTGATAAATTTGATGAAGTTTTTTGTAATGAATACCGAAAGCTATCGTTCGTCATAGTTATTTTATGTTGAGTATTATTTTGTAGTATTTTCGAGTAATAGTTAAATTGCAAATTTTTGTAATAAAACAAAATTTACATAAGGTATTTTTGCTGACTGTAAGAATTTAATACAAAAAAATTTCATGTACAATAAATATCAATCTGCGTTTTCTTTCTACATGTTTTTTTAGGAAGATATCATTTTCTTCTAGATGGTAAAATGGATCATTTTTAACTTGATCCTGGGCGAACTGGAGCGCACAAAAATTAAAAAATATCGTAGAGAAACTCCGAACGCTATCACTTACCTTAGCGTCGCAATGATCGTCCAGCCAATGCCTTGTCCAGCAATTCCCTCTCGTCGCCACGATGCCTTTCGGGAACGATGGGGATAACGAGATGATCCTTCCAGCTCGTAAGTCTCCAACGGGGATGATTTGCTGCTGATGTGCGGCTTACGGCGATCCTGCAATCGCAAAAATCCTCAATTACGTCCTTGTAGTGCGATCGATCGATCGATACTGAATTCAACATTCCCGATATTCCTCTCACGCGTGAATCGCGCGATATACTTGCAAATAACGAACGAGGACGTAGCGAACGCGAACGACGGCAACTTTGCACCGATGCCCGAGCCATCACACGACGGAAGATTCACACGCCAAAATCGATTCTCCTCGCGAAAACAGCTTGCCATTGCGCGTTTATGCATTATCGATTGTTCTACTCTTCAACACTAAATTTGAGATTTCCGAAAACGTGCCGTGCGTGCTGCAAATTTTTGTACGAGCGGAAAAATCGTAGAGCGACGCGGCGGCTAACTTACGCCGACGCGCGATGCCCCGCGAGCTCGATGCGGCGCGAAGGGCCATTTATGCACGTGTAAAATCTAAAAATTATTTAAAGAAAAAACAGTTTGTTACGGGCACTCGTACATTGAACTTCTCGCTGCCTCTCCAACGTCAAACCCGCTGCTATTGGCATTCGCTTCGAGCGCGAATTTAAATTTCTAAATCAAAGACCTGACACGGAACGACGCGGCGACATCCTCGTACTCATGATCTTCGTCGCTGTGCCGCGTCGAGAATTGCTCGTACGAGGAACAGCTCATCTAGCATCTTACAGTCTAAATTATACTTTACGTCGATACTTTACGTGGATACCTTCTCGGGATGTACTCTTGCTACAAGCGCGACATGATCTTTCGATGCGAAAGGGTCGGCGAAACGCGGAGCAGCGCGGAGCGGGCCGGAGCTGCTTCGAAACAACGCGACTCTAAGATGGCGACTGCGCGATGTGCGCCACACGACGGATTTTCCGCGAAGCGCGATTCCATCCGGCGCGTCGGTAAAAATCCGCCGTCGGTAAAATCCGTCGTCAAAAACGATCATGTTTCGGGGCTCGCGAACGTTTTTGATATAATTAAAAACAAGATTGTTAAATGTCTCGCGTCTATTTAAGCAACCACGTGCCTGGTTTCGCGAAAGTTTTTGATAATTAAAAATATGATTGATAAATTTCTCCCGCTTATTTAAACGATTACGTGCCGGCGATCGCGTACATTTCTAGGCATATCCGGATCCTCTCTATTAAAACATTACTTAAGACGATCTTGAAATAAGAATCAATTTATGAATACCGGCCATTGTCCTTTTCTACGTATGTATGTATGTACATACATACATACACGCATACACCATCCATACACCTTACCCCCACTCCTCAAATAACCCCGCGGACGCTCCTCGGTCTATATATACTTATGTCTATGCTTCTCTCCAACCTGACTAACCTAACTTAACTCGGAGCCGGAGTAAGTTTGTTGTGTGTCGAGATTGAAGTTATGTATCGCGTAGATATGAGTGACAATGTCGTATCAAGACAGTGGATTTTCAACGATGTACGATCGACAGGACGACTATGATCTCGACGAGGACAATGAGGAGTACCTGGAGGAGGACAGGGATGCCGAGGAGCAAGATGAAAGCGATGAAGGTGATGATAAATGGATATTATATGTCTGTACGCGAAGAGTCATCTTTTTCCGCATGATTTCATGCTCGTAATTTTTGAAACTATAACTTTCCCATAACATACACTAAGGAATATGTAATGTAAATTAAGTCGTCAAGGAATACCTGTAAGAACTAAAACAGAGTCAACGGAAATTTTATTTTTTTAGATACCGAGGAGGCGAGCGAAACCGATATGGGAAAATCCGAAGAATACACAGAAATCAAAGAACAGTAAGCCCGTAAAGTTACATATCCATGAATTTAGCACTGAACATTTTATTTCATCAATATGCGATCTTTCAGAATGTACCAAGATAAACTAGCCAGCTTGAAGAAGCAACTGCAGCAATTGAAGGAAGGCACGCATCCCGAATACAATCGTAAACTGAAACGACTGGAGGCGCAATATAAAGAACGGTGATTATTACCTTCTCATCAACTCAACATTATTATTTCCATAGGACTCATACTGATTAAGATGTTATCTTCGCCAGATTGAGACTTAATATAATTTACCGAGATTACTTGACGGAATGGGTCGAGCGTGATTACATATCGGAGAAAAAGGCAGCGGCGAAGGAATTTGAAGAGAAAAAGATCGATCTTAAGGAAAATTTACTTACTGACATGGAGGAAAAGCGAAAAATCATTGAGTCAGACCGCCACACAATGGAACTCACTGGTGATTCTATGGAGGTATTTATTATATTTAAATAATATTTAATAAGAAGAATATATATGTGTGTGTATTTTTTACATTATTTTATTTTTTAATTAGGTAAAACCGGTAATGACGAGAAAATTGCGTAGACGTCCCAACGATCCAGTACCTGAAAAAGTAGAAAAACGGCGAAAACCGCCTCCCGCACAACTAAATTACGTGCTGGACGATAAAGATATCGAACTTGATTTAAAAGCGATCAATCGTGCGAAAGCGCCGACCACCATTCGCAAGCCAGGTGCACATTACTTGATATCCTAAAGTTCAAAATACTATAGCAAAATATTTCTTGGAAAATTAAATAATACAAATCTATGACTCTTCGTTTTCAAGTTACTTTTGCAATTTGTGCAAGAATTTACAAAATTTCGAGCCAGTTCTGAACACATCGTTACAACTTGTATTATTTAGTTTTTCCAGAACTATAGTATCTTGATTCTTGCGAATTTTGTGACACCTTGTACATAGACGTAAAACCGCGAAGCGTATAAGCATTGTAAAGATTAAGAATAAGAAATAAATTTTTTAGAATAAGAAATCAACTTTTTAGTTAATATATAACTGTATTTACAGTAGTTTTACCACATTACAACAACGCGGTCAATATTCCATCACAGCATATATCACAGCCGCCTGAAACCCCATTGGTGGAAACTCGCATAGAGGATGGAAAGTTATTATATGAGCGAAGATGGTACTTTCGATTTATTTCTATACTATTACTTTACATTCAAAACTTGAATTTCTTTTTAAATATAAAGAGATCCTTTGGTTGAATTTTATTAAAGGTTCCATCGTGGTCAACCTGTCTATGTCGAAGGCAAGGATCTCAATAGGTTCGCGGCGAATATTTCCGCAATCGGCACCGAAGCGGTGAGTGTGACTTATGATCGAAGCATAATAAATAATTAAATAAATCGCGTATCTTCGCAGGATACATACGGTTTTTTTTTTCCAGATCTGGGTGAAGAAAGTATCGGACAGCAGCAAAGTACGCATTTACACGTCACAACTAAGTCGTGGGAAGATCTCCATCAAACGACGGGCGTCCTAATCAACTCCTCTATTATCCTTGCAGGCATCCCTTCATCAGACTTGCGTCACGTTGCGTTTATCGTTTCTAATTAAAGCAGTATTTCCCGGAATTAAATCAACGATTTTTACACTACTGGTTTTCTGCCACCAGTAAAACCATGCTTTTTGATGATATTGTAGCGTCATGTAGATCCAAATGAAGAACGACAGGATTAGTAGCGCCATCATTGACAGCAAGGAGTAGGTGGTCCATCGCGCGGGTGGAAAATTATCGTAGTTACTCATAGCGTAAAAATCGGCAGCCACTACGCAGATGTAAGAACACGCGATGGTCACTGGGGTGATTATAAGACATCTTAGCAGATCGGCCTTCACATTGCGGACATATATCTGTTGCTCGTTCTGATTCAGGCACAACCAGACCACGATGGACCGAAGAACCTTATAACGAGGCGTTCGTTCCATCCGGAACTCATGACCGCACAATTCACACTTATTCCTGTTGCTCTCTTCTAACCACCGTTCCAAACATTTCAGATGAATCGCGCCCATCGTACCCTAATCCCAATTGTCATTATTGTGATTAATTAGTTATTGACATGAACGTCTTTTTAAACATATTTGAAAAAATTAAATCATACTCTAAATTATGGAGTATTTATAATTTATTAAAACAATAAAAGAAAATATCTAGAGCTGTGTGAATTTTCAATATCCTGAATTTTCTTCGGAAATTTTCAACTTTGAAGCCCACGATACTAGAAATTGCTCCGAGGCCGAAATCTCGGACGAAGAAAGTATTAACAAATAATACTTCAATTATTCGGCCAATTGACCAATATGATCGGTTAATTTTTTCTTCATTCAAGATTTTTTAAAAATTTCATACGCAAAAATATTAGGGAATTCTATTTAGGATATATTCTAAAATATATGCAAATAGTGTACATACATAACGACTGATATTTTCATATATTTTCGTTTACGAAAGTCTTCGAGAATAAAACCCAAAGATTTCGAACGGGGAAAGAATTGACCAATCACATTGGTCAATTGGTCAAGTAGTTTAAATGATTTATTAATTCATTCTCCATCGATTTCGGAGCAATTTTTAGTATCGTAAACACAAAGCTTTGGTTTTCCACATTATTGCATATAATTGAATTTTTACACTCTGTTCTCCCGCACCTTACACTTGCATGGGTATATAACAGGTAATTCTTGATTAGGATCGTAACAAATACGACAATTTATGTCTTCTATCGAATCGCGTGATAATTCATTTCTTTTGCCTGACGTTGTAACATCCTCGAGCTCCGATTGATTCACGTGTAACTCTTGCTCTAGTTCTGCTTCGACTTTCGAAATTATGCTATCTAAAATGTTGGCTATCGAATTACTTTTCTCAATCATAACGGGAGTAAAATTTCTGCAGATATTTTTAGAAAAACAAACAACTGTTTCACTGCGCGAAACATAAGACGGACGCATTATAATTCACAGGTGGACCAGGAAAAGGGGATTAAAGTTAGATGCATCCTTTATTATTGTGTATAAAAATTTGTATTGTATTATAGTGGATACAGTTGAGTTAGTTCGCGTGAAATAATCTTAAAGAGCCACGTAACTATATGTGCACTTTATATAATTAATGAGTAAACTATAACGAATGTTTGTCACTCCGCTATCATGTCCACGCTGAGGCAATCTTCACCCATATTACTGGGAGACGTCTCAAGTTCTCCAATTTCATTAGATTCGCTAAAAAAAATTTTTATTATTTTAATAACTTCATTTTTATTAAAGAGATAAAAAATATATTTATTAACAAAGGAGAAAGCTTACCTGTCCAAGGAAGGATCATTACTAAACATTTCTGTCGGAACTGTGGGTGGTGCTTTCTCTGGCACAAGTTCCAGATATGTCTGGCGAGATTCCAAATGTCTTTCTACTTCCTCAGGTGTCATGTGTCCATCAGACATCAAGGACATCGGAACCATATTATTCGAGGATTGTACCTAAAATAAAGAATCCCCATTACAACAATTTTGTAATAAAATTGGATTTTTGAACATATTACATAAAGTATAAATCTACTTACTATAGGTGTGTTGTTCGTTTTAGCAACTTTTGGTGTACTCCTTTTCTTCTTACTGGTGCTGAGTGGTTTTGTGATCATAGACGAATGATGAGAAGTATGATTATTGATATTCATCTCAACTTTTTTCCTAAAAATTACATATATTAATGTAATAAGCTATTCATAACTATTAATAACTTATATTTTGGGTAATGAACTTTTGAACCATATTGCATGTTATTTTGCACATAATCAGATAGTTATATAAATTTCCTTACCTCTTGGAATTGTCAAGACGAACAACTTCCTCATCTGATGATTCAGTTTCATCGCTTTCGCTGAATGACGCATCTACTTTTTCATACTGCAGTAGGCGATCTAATAGGAAACTCTTGTCCCTATTCACCTTGAGCAGTTTTCTTTGTGTCGAACGCAAAGCTTCCTGGAAACATTCATTCTCCTGCAACATAATACGTACTTTGTCACGAAACAGATAAGGTGGACGAGTGTCAGATATCAAAATGTTCCTTGCATACATAAATCAAAAATTTCAGCTTTCTCTTGAGATTGCGATACTGGTCCTTATAATTAGGCACTTCTTCCTCGGGACTCTCCTCATCGTCTTCTTCTTCTGCATCTGCATTGTTGTTGGCAATGGATCTGCAATACCATCCTTCCAACATTGATCATCTGCAACTGTGGGAAAATAAAGTTTTTAGTCGTCAATATCCGCACAAAGGGTCTCCTTAATCGAAACTTTTTTATCACACTTAACATTGCAATACACAAAAATTACGTATAATTATTAATGAATTTGAACGAAAAAGAAAATTATCCAAACAAATAAATGTCTCTGCTCAACAAAAGAAAGTAAATGAATAGACAATCAATACAAAATTAGAATATAAAATCGACAAAGAGTTCTTCAGAGACGCACTTTGGTTTCGTTCTAGGAGGTTAAGTCGCGCAAGAAACGCGTTAACTTATGCGTTAGCCGCTCAATTGCGCAAGGAAACGAATGTCAAGCTGCAGCGGGCCGCAATATTAACGGCTGATTTTCTTTTGCACTCACTTGAAACCCCAGAACGATTTGTCGCACGTCGCAAGCGCTCGCGGCGGCCGATTATTGCGAAGATAAATAAGCTGTTTATGACTGGCTTCCATTCTGAACTCTTTATCGATTCCGCAGTAACTTCAGCGCCTTGCCGGTCGAACGGAAGCGCGCGTCGAATCATATCAGTGCTGTGAACATCAAGAAATAAAAGCATTGCTCCATGATGAAATATCCCTAACCATTTGAAAAGTACTTTACGACAATCGGGAATTACGAGGCATAATTTTTTAAACAAAAATAATAAATTCATATTTTTTATGTTATTATTAATAAATTTCACTTTTGCCATTTTACAGAAAACGGATAAGTATTTTTTAATAATTAACGATTTTTAATTCATGACTTTCTTTATTTTCAATTTCTGCTCTGAAATGACTAAAAAAATTTACTTTCGTGATCACACTACAAATTGAATTTCTTAATAAAGCTAAAGCTTTTATGTTTTTTATTGCTCTTTCTTCATGAAACAATTTTATATTTTTATCGCTCTTTTTTCGATCATAAAACAACTTAACTATAATAGAACATTTTTAGTTTTATACAATTATATTTTATAAACTTAATTAAAAATTTGTTTAAGAATTTCGGAAATAAAGCTATAAAATACTAAAAACAATTAAAATTGAAAAGAAGTCAAAGAAAGTTTTAGAATAATAAGTTTCAGAATAATATCTTTAATTTTTTCTAAAATTATACGTATATCTTACAAAAATGTATTTCCTTTTATTATAATTAAATTTATTTTTTCCACATATGTAATATATATATATATATTTTTTAATGTAGTTTTTGTATTTTATATATAAAAATAAAAATTTTTTTAATGTATACTAGTGGCTGAAAGCCGCTCAAGCGTGGCACATCCGATGGACCTTTTTTTAAATATTAATACTGTTGATATGAGCTGTATTACACTTAATTACTAATTAACTTAATGACTATAACTTAATAACTTAACTTTTACACATTTTTGTATATCGTTACATATTATGTCGATAAACTTAAAATAGAAATACAGAATACTAATGTACTAACTGTTATAATAAATAAGTACTCAAATTCGCGCCATCCATCTGTATGCACAGTCTAGCTCGAAATAAGTTTTGTAAAGCATTGTAAATAATTTCTGGATAATGTTATTAAAGCTTTTACAATTTTATTATGTAATTGCCTACGGTTTTGTATATAGGTTTTGTAATATATATGTAGCAAAACTGTAGACAATTACATAATGAAATTGTAAAATTTTAATTAACATTACCCAAAAATTATTTTAATTTGTATTAAAATACACATAAATGTTAGTCTCCTTAAAAAAAAATTATTAAGAAACACAATGTATAATTTGTTCATAGAGGAGAATTTTCAAATCTGTGAAAACGATATATATGAAAATTTGATACAAAAAGGCCGTAGCCGGATAAGGAGGGGCGATCTGCCCCCGTGCCAATCATGACCATTTTTTACAGTTTAGTTGCTATCAATATCAGTTACAATTTTACCAAACATTAGCCCTTAATATTCAACCGTTGGGGTGTGAGAAATAAAAATCAAAATTTCAAAAAAAATTTATATCGGCTCAATCAATTTTCATAAAAAAAATATATGTTGTAGATGTAGACAAGATACATTTGTAAAAAAATTTCGAAGATTTTTTGAAGCCAGAAATTGCAAAAAAAAATTAAATATTTTTATTTATTTTTTTTAGCTATCTTATCGGTCTTGTACTACCACAAAAATTTTGCCGTAAAATTATTAGATGCTATTCTATAACATGTAATTTTTTCAAATTTTTCAAATGGGTACTTGATACTTAAAAAAAAAAGAAATTTTTTTTTCCAATTTTTTTAACCATTTCATCGATCCAA